GCTCGCGGCGTCTGCCACGCCGGTGCCTGCCCTGGAAGGGCGGATCTGTAAGCACCGACGCGTTTATAAGTCACTGTTACTCGGGGAGCGATGCTGCTCCCACAGGGGGGCCAGCTGTTGTGGCTTTACTGTGCATCTGGGCCTCGGCTCTCTGAATGTAGCAATCTCCATCATTATTTAAGGAAGAAAGAATCATTCTTATGTTAACGGTTGCTGAGGGAAAGGTTGGAGAGTGTGAACTAAGGCTTGGAGAGTAAACCAGCAAAAGAAATGCAGAATATACTTGTATTTGGTCAGTACGGATCTTTTCTGGCCTCCTGAACAGTGAGGTTGGCACGAGGACTTCTGCCTCTGCCAGCATCCCCGTGAGGTAGACCCCAGTCGATGGTCATTGCTGAGGGAGCCTTGCACGAGCCTGGAGAGCGGGGGCATGCCGAGGGCCGGGAGGCGTTCACCGCCAGGTTAAAGTAGTCCCAGTTTTTCTCACGGCGTTGCCATGGAGGAAAAACTTCTGGATTTTGTACGGTTCCTGGACGCTGTGGAGATAGGTGCTGTGTAAGAACGGAGAAGCCGGCAGGATGGATAAACAGCCGGAGGCTGCGGCAGGGAGAGGGGCAACTCAGCCGGAGGACTAGCTCAGCCGTAGGAAGAACAGGGATAAATCGAGGAAGCCGTCTGACAGATAGACGGGACAGGAAAGGCAGGTCGGGGCTGTGTTTGCACTTCGGTTTTGTGTCTTTTTTTATGACACAGCGTTGAGAGCCTTTGTTTAAACCAAGCTGGAGAGAAGCACTAAAACGTGCAGGTCACACTTGCACGCTTAAGCACCGTCACAAAGGGCTCCAAGCACTTTGTGTGAAGGGATGGGTTTGTTTATTGGCTTCCGAGTGAAGGCGAAGTACAAATGGGAGAGGAGCAGACCCCTGACATCCCTCCGAGCGTGGCAAGACTGCTCGGAGAGGCAGGTGCCAGGAGCAGGGGCTGAAGCAGCAGGGGAGCAGCGCGGAGAAGGTCAGGTGGCAGCAGGAGGGCAGGTTGGCCACGAGGTGAGCGGGGTTTTGCTTCTAAAAATAAGGTGGAAATGAGCATCACTTTTTCGAGACACACATTTCTGATACAAACCTGTGTTTGGCTGTAACAGATGTGTAATTTAGGAGACCAAGTCTAAAATACGAAGCTTTATAAAGAATGTACACGTTCTGTTCAGCTCTCATTTGTCTCTGAGCCTCTTGGACGTGTTATTTTCAAGGTTTCATTGTGAGCCGAAGGGGAAGAGAATCATCTTTGTGTCACTGCTGAGATTTTTATGCGTTCCTGCAACTCTAAAAAGAGTCCCACATCGTGTCGGGAGGCTCGAGGCACCCTCTCCTCCAGTGCTCTGTGCTCACTGCGACAGTAACACCAATCAGGCCGAGTTTCTTGCCGTTTTCTCTTGCTTGTCCCCGCCTCGAGCGCGGTGCCTGTTGTTCGGGAGCATTCCCTGCCCAGCAGCTGCCAGGAGCCAACAGGCTCTTGCCATGGAGCGCTGCCCAAGAGGCGTTTCCAGGGTTGGGGGCCGACCCGCTCGCTTTGCCGCGGTCCCGGCATTGCTCCTGTGCCGTGCTTGAGAATCCTCGCTTTGTCCCGAGCCCCTCGGTGGTGCCAGCCCGGAGCAGGTGTGCCGAGGAGGGGGCAACGCCTGTGTAAGGCTGCGTGCAGAGCAGGGACTACCTGTGGGGCTGGGCTGGGACCCCCTGCCGCCAGCTCGCGCTAGCCCTCCCCGGGCAGACGGAGCCCAGGCTCGCTCCGCTCCACGTGATGACAACCAGACCCCACGAGTGTTTTCCTCTCGCGTGCTGTGACGCAGGTCCTGCGGCTCGTGACGGCCGCAGCGACTGCAGGGCTCCCTTCGGCAGTTGCCCCAAAAAGGCCGGGATCTGAGGAGCCTGCGGAGGATGCGCTGCCAGGTGAGTGGCTTAGCCAGGCTGGGCTTTGCTGATTACCTGCTCTAATTATACCCAGCCCTCGGCGCCCGCTGCCGAGCCAGAGGAGCGCTCAGGAGCTCTGTGCCCACCTGCAGCTGCCGGTGCCTGCCGTGCCCTGTGCCCCGAGGTGCAAAGCCGAGTGGAAGTTGTGCTGGAAACAACAGCGATTGCTCGCAGGCAGCGGTGAATGTCGGGGCACTGGATCTTCTGGGCCGAGGCGGCATCTTTGGTGTCCTCCAGGAGCTGGCCGAAGCGCTGTAGATAGCAGGGAGCCCCTCCCGGGTGGTCCCGCAGTGGGAGATGTGTACGTGAGGTTCTGCTTATAAATATCTGCAGGGTGGGTGTCAGGAGGACGGGGCCAGACTCTTTTCAGTAGTGCCCAGCGACAGGACAAGGGGCAACGGGCACAAACTGAAGCAGAGGAAGCTCCAGCTGAACACGAGGAAGAACTTCTTCCCTCTGAGGGTGATGGAGCCCTGGCCCAGGCTGCCCAGGGAGGCTGTGGAGTCTCCTTCTCTGG